TGCTCGCCGCCGCCGCCTCCGTCCTCCTCCTCCCCTTAGACCCTTCTTAGGCATATCATGATTACTTTGTCGGCTTACCTGATCATCTTTGATAATGCATATCTTCCTTAACATAGACCTCACCCGTTTTGATATGGAAGTAAATAACCCATTAACACGTTCCGGTAGCTGTAGACGATTACCAAAGAAGCCACTGCCACCACTCGGTGCAGTCCCTGTTATACCCTATTACAATCCCCTTAGCTCTAGAGTCATGCTACCTGCTTGTTGCAGATGGTCATCATCCTGGGTAGATTTTCTGCCGACCTCCTCTGAATCGACGCCGGGAGCTGATCCCGCCAGAGGACGATACACCTGCATGTGGTATTGAGGTTATACCATCATTATCATGACTACCCCTCTAATCATCTGGGACTCGACCCATCTATGCCATTGATGGAAGGGTACCTGATACATGTACCTTATGATAGCTTATAGGACATGGTTCAATGATGATAACCTTCTCTTCGCATGCCCTTCCATAGAGGTCCTTAGGATCAAATAGTCCAAGGTTATCCAAATAAGTAGAGTTGAGTTTAACAGCTAATACAACCATACGGAAGTATTCCTCCTAGGAGTAACACAGTATTCATTATCCCGATAATAGTAAAGCCTTACCTCAGCCGACATGGGCTTACTCTGAGGTATAACACACTCAGACTCTATACTAGCTGTAGTAGTAGCAGGAGATGATACCATAGATCGATGATGCTTGTTGCCTCCTCCTCCTCCACCTAACTAGGCTGTATACTCTCTAATGAGCCTATATCCTACCTATATCCAGCCCATTAGCTTGTACTACACATAATAGACGATTGTTGTCGGCATGTAGTCTGTAAGTGATGATGATGATGACAGGGTTGCCTGCCATCAAGGAATATTACTTCCTTATCTGCTCTATACATTCTCGTATAATGTCTTCTTTCCTATCCAGTTCAAGTTCAGATATACCAAGTTTTCCACGAAGCAATAGATTCTCCTGTGTCTTAGCCATGAGAGAGTCTTGTAACCTCACCTATCACTAGACTACTACTACTTCTCTAACAAGGCCTACTACCATATCCCGAGACAAGGCTCTTCGTTCAAGAAGTACCCTCTGCAATGCTGCTGCTCGATTATCATGATCCTCTACTGCATGATACTTATACTCCCCTATCGGGGTCTCCTCCTGATAGATCACTCTCAGGTCCATGCCATGGTATATACTCACCTGTAAAGGCTCTGAGGGTATGCATGCTGAATAAGAAAGCAGCTCATAATCGGGGTTATTAGACATGACTTTAAGGCGGCCTTCCTCCTCCTCCTCTTCATCTTTCCTCAAGTTGCCAGTATCCGATGAGCATGAGGCCATTACAGTACAATTCCAACTGATAGCAAGACTTGTTGCCTAGCAACGAGGCACATTGAGATCGACTCCATGGTAGTGGAGTCCAGGTAGTATACTTTGTAGTATATACTATGATAATCCAACTATGGAACATCCTCACTGTAGGGTATTATGCTACCATGCCTCGGTCATGGTAATGCATGGGGATGACGAGCTCCCCTCGGTATATCAGATTAGTAGGATGATCCTTCGAGGCAGATTGGAAGGGTTGTAGATTGTGTGGTAATAATAATCCCGGTATTGACAATGGCAAGGCTAATATGAGAATCATTGACTGGTATCGGAATCATAACTATCATCTGTTTGTACCCATTCACAGTCATCAGCTACTGCATAATCCCTTGCCTCTGCATAACCATCACCATAATAGATAAACAGCTCGGACCCTGCTTTGATCTCACTAAGTGTGTATCTGTTATGAATTATGCTACTTTCAGAGTAGTGTGGTACTACATTTGTGGGCATGCTCCCTTTCTAACCTTCCACTGACAATTGGCCTCTTTACCTGGTGGAGGCTCATTGATTCTGAAGCCGATAGAGAGTCTCCATTCTAAGCATACAGCCTAAAGAAATGGTCTACATTATTACTATTACTCATTCTATTACTACTACTTCACTAGACTCATCATTGATGTTACCATCTGTTGGGTCTATCGTCCAGTTACCCCCAGTACCCCCTACAGTAGCATTGTAGTGAGGATTAGACACGTGGGATGAATGGATCCAGTACCTATACGATGACCTGCGAGGAGACCTATTGGTAGTAATTGATAGTACCCATCCATCTTAGATACGAGAGTATTGGGTAGGAGGTCGACTTTAGTATAGACCGAGAGCTGACCTAGTGGTAGCCAATCGGAATGAGCCTATGAATGGAGGCATCAATGCATAATCAATGCATACCATCCACTCACCAAAACAAACCGTCTATCC